GAAAGGGAAGCAACTCATGCAAAACCCAGCATTAATAATGCTGTTTGAGAATTCTTCTCCAATCACACACACACACATTATCAGACAAGTTTGTCACGCTGCCTCACTGCATGCATTCTCTTATATGTCCCCTTGTTTTCCCTCGTTCTTTCATTACACGAGCAGTGTGGTAAAGAAACTAAACAATGAAAACACAAGGCAGACTGAGACAAGGGAGAGTTTCAGTTTTAAGACAAACTCGACACAGCAGCATAGAAACCCCAACTAGTGTTTCGGTGCTACACCCCTCCCTGGCCACAACCCTTAATAATCTAAGTGCTGTAATGACCTGACTGATTCACTAAAAACACTGGTATTAGGATGTGGACTAACTTGTGAACCAAAAAGGGCTGACTCCTTAAAGACACAGCAACACCTACTTTATTTTTCTTGACACCTGTCTAGCTCACCTTGTGCTTTTTTAAACATGATGGTAGGTTCCAGTTTAGATAATTCTGAAACAGTGAAATAACAAAATAACAATATAAAAATAGAATAAGAAATTGGGGTGAAGAATTAAAACATGATGCTGACCTCTGACTCTGAAATGATTTATCACAGATGAGATGTGGAGGAATGTTTCACACAGCCGGATGACAGGATGAACCCCCACTTCCTCTTGATTTGTCTTGTGGAAATACTTGAAGACATCCCGGCAGTCAGCAATATTCCAGCTAAATGAGTTTGCGCTCATCTCTGGCAGGAGCAATCTTTAAAGCAGCTACTTTGGCATTTAGAAAATCCATTAACCATGATTGAAGCTATCCAGCTGAAAACACGCAGTCAGTCTTTTCTCTCTCAAGTGCCACTGCTATCTTAGAAACAATTTCTTCAAAAGAGAAACAAACTTCATAGGCTGAAAGCAGGATTTAAAGCATTTTAAAAGCATCTGACTTGCCCTACATTCACATCTGTTTTAGCATCGCTTCACCTCCTCCATAAGGACAACACTTTCTTGGGAGATGTTTCTGTGGCGGATTATCTCTAGATGGCTCTTTTCTGACCCCAAATTGTCAGAGAGCCTTCAGCAACAACTTATGGTTTTCAGTTTTTATTGATTTACACAGAAAATTTTTTAATTTTAGACTATTTTTTTAACTAGTGGAGTGGTGTAAAGTACTTGTTGCTTGGATAGGATGCATCCAGGATACCAGAGGGTTGTCTGCTGCCATCAAAAATGGTAAATGGACTGAACTTATATAGCGCCTTTTTAGTCTTTCGACCACTCAGTGCGCTGTACACTACATGCCACATTCACACATTCATACACTGATGGTGATGGCTGCCATGCAAGGTGCCAACTGCTTATCAGAACGGAATCTAATCATTCACACACACTCATACATATAAAGCTGCTTTTTCACCACACGCTACGGCTAGACTCTACTCGTTCTTTCTTGGTTTTCCATTATGGATAGTACCTGGTACTTTCTTTGGATGCTGAGCTGATCCAAAAGTTGACGTGAAAACACTGCGGACCACTGAGTGGTCTTGCCGCATGGGACATCATGCACAAAACTAGGTCTGGGAATTGAGAACTGATTCCAAATTATCCGATCCATCAGAATTGTATGCCTCTAAGCTTATGAATTGCTTTCATCTATGCTGTTTTTCTGACAGTTGTGCTTTGCAAAACAATGTCAAACTTGTGTCTAAAACTCGCACCAAGAAGGAGTCACGGCGAGATAAAGAAACAGTCTTCATTTCACAAAGAAACTCAAACTGTGTTTCTACACTGTGTTCAGACTCAGATAATAAAACAGTTGCATTGACAATGAAAACCTGTGTAGGCCCGCATTTTCCACACAAACAAATGATTTATTGTATTGATATCAGTACGATCTTATACATTCCCATCCCTACACTAACCCCACATTCTGAAATAGTCAAGCTACAATCAGTAGAAAGAAAAGAAAGAAAGTAGATGTACCAAAGGCAAGAAGAGCCATACCATAACTTCAAGCGTTAAGGAGGAGTGACCCCATGTGTCCAAAACCGCCCCTGTGGGCACGTACCATTGAACACTTGTTTAAGTGTTGATTGTAACAGTATGTCCAATCTGCATAGAGGGAAACATTCCACATAGCTTCTGTTCTTAATGGATTAACTAAAAAGTATTTGAAGCTGCAGCCATGTACCTGACCACTAACCTCATCTTGATGCCATCAGGCCATACACACCCATGCGAGGGTCTCTATCTACCGTCTGGTTTGACCGTTACAAGATCTCACGAGACTGCCAGGAGCACCTGGAGTCCATAGACACCATGTGTACCACCTTAGGGTCTGTCATTCAGGACGAGGTCAACGCTGGGATCCCCAAACACAGGATAGTCATCGGTATGGATCTTGTTTTGACTTCATATTTGCTATGTGTTAAAATCTGAATGTTTACTATAGACTTTGTACCATTGTGTTTATATAAAGGTCCAAATCAAAACCTGCGCTCTCTGATCTGCATTAGTTCTGCATTAGTCCAGTACTACCTGTAAACCCCCCCTCCATCCTTCTCCTCCCCTCCACACACACACACAGTCACACACCTCAGTCCATTTTATCCCGGCTGTTCCTCACTCCCTCTGTCGCGATATAAAGTGAAGAATGCATCTCATCAGGTTACCGCCTCCTTTCATATGCTGCCAGCAGAGAATAAAAAAGACTTTTCACAGGGGATTCTCGGGTCCTGAAAAGCTTTTTCCCCTTCAAATATTCTGCTTATCAAGTTCACATATAAATAACCATGAAATGAAACCACTCGGATCGAGTACTATCAACATTATGGCTGAGGCAGGGTAAGAGTTCCCACAGGAAACATATGATTGGACATTGAGTGTTTTAATGTCAGCGAGGGACAGCGGCACATGAAAGGGGAAACAACTGAGAGCAGAGGGAAAAGGGTTAACCTGTAATGTATAACTATATATACGTGGGGGGGGGGTTGTGTGAAAGACTTGACTCCAGAGAGCGTGAGTGAAAAAACACATGCTCCTGGGAAACAGCTGAAATATTATCTTTCTAAATCATAACATTTTGTCATTAACTATAAATACTTAGTGGACTGCGCTGGAGAAACGCAGTGCCGTGGACCCAGAGACCAGAGACCACTTCCCTCCCCCCTTCACACACTGACAAGCGCCAGAAGTTTCCATGGAAAAGGGTTTTGAGGAGGCCGGCCACAGGCTGCTGTGTTTGTGTGTGGAGGAGGGGTGGGGGTGTTGGGGGGCTCTTATACACACTGCTCAGGTCAATATCACAAAAGTACTGTACTTTTGTGTTTCATTATTGGTAAATGGTAAATGGACCTGTACTTGTATAGCGCCTTTCTAGTCTTCCAACCACTCAAAGCGCTTTTACACTACATGCCACATTCACCCTT